TTGTAAATTTCTGTGACTTCAGGATTGATTCCTGGGTGATTGTCATTTTCCTTCTGGTCTGGAGTGTTAGTATACCTCTACATGCTATTTGATGGGGTGAACTTGGGCCATCACGCAGTGGTAGTATTTGGTTGCAGTTTCCAATGCCGCCACTGGGGGGGGAGGCAGGAGCTGTGTATTCTGAGCCCATCGCAATCTCCGGCAGCTGTGCCTGTCCTTTGGAAGCTGTGCCTATCAGGGCCAATCTATGGTTTGCCTGATGGCCATCATTGCTTTACACACGTAGGCAGGTGCTCTGGTGGGGGTCCCCTGCTCTGGTCTCCCAGTGGAGCTGGTGCATCGGGTGGGAAGGGGTAGAGGCACTTTCTTTCACAGATGTGATCCCGGCGGTGCTCCCACTCTGCACTCACTGTCTGCCCTCCTGGGCTGCTCGACTTGGTGAAGATGCCCCTGTGATTGCTTAGCCTCCTCAGTGTGGAGCATTTCCATGGGCTTGGAGGCAACTCCAGGAGCGAAGGCATTCCTGTAGAGGGCTGCCCTTTCCCCCGTCTCCTCTCAGTCACGTGCCAGCCACTGTGCATTGTCCCACACCCTAGATCACTGCTGTTTGGAGAGGGAGAGGAGTTACCCTTAGCTCCTTCCACTGCCCCCCGGGGGGTCCAGCACCTCCGCCTTCAAACGTATGGCTGCATGGATCTCTCACATGTCTATTGTGTTGTGTGAATGTCTTCTGTTGGCTTATGAAAGTACTTTTTGTTGTATCTCAGAGGGGAGAGACTAAGGGAAGAGCTCACTCTGCCATGATGCTGACGTCACTCTCCTCAGTTCTTTCTGTGTGTGACATGCACTTGCCTCCAAACCCTTCAGGGCACAGTGCAATTTGCAGTTCTCAGGTGCCCAGCAGCAGCATCCATTCTTGCACTTCTTGCCCTGGATGCAAATCTCCAATAGATGACTTTTTACTATAAAATTTCCTCTAAGAAATTTTTGTGGCATCTCGTAGGTTTTGGCTTTTTGTGTTCCCATTTTCATTAATTTGATATATTTTGTTGTTTTCCATTTTGATTTCTTCTTTGACCCAATGATTGTTCAGGAGTGTGTTGTTTATTTACCAGGTGTTTGTAAATTTTCTAGCTTTACTCTTGTTGTTGATTTCTAGTTTCATACTATTGTGTCAGAGGAGATACTAGGTATGATTTCAATTTTTAAAAATTTGCTAAGATTTGTTTTGTGGCCTATCACATGATCTATCCTGGACAATGTTTTGTGTGCACTTGAGAAGAATGTGTATTCTGCTGCTGTTGGCTGTCTGTTAGGTCCATTTAATCTAAAGTATGGTTAAAGTTCAATATTTCCTTGTTGATTTTCTCTCTGGATAATCTATCCATTGCTGAAGTGGGGTATTGAAGTCTCTTACTATTGTGGTATTGTTGTCTGTTTCTCCTCCAGACGTGTTACCATTTGGTTAATATATTTAGGTACTTCAATGGTGAGTGTGCTTATATTTATGATTGTTATATCCTCTTGATGAATTGGCCCATTTATCATTATATAATGACCTTCTTTGTCTCTTGTTACTCATCTGGCTTAAAGTCTATTTTGTCTGGCATAAACATAGCCATCTCTGCTTTATTTTCACTTCTACTGGCATGGTATATCTTTTTTTCATTCCTTTACTTTAAGCCTATGTGTGTCCTTAATGCTGAATGAGTCTTTTGTAGGCAGCATATAGTTGGGTCTCTCTTTTTTTTGGTCCATCCAGCCTCTCTGTGTCTTTTGATTGGTTAGTTCAATCCATTTATATTTAAAGTAATTATTAATATGTAAGGACTTACTAATGCCATCTTATTAATTGTGTTCTGACTGTTTTGTAGTTCTGTTATTTATTTTTTTCTCTGTTTCTGTGTATCTTTCCAGGCTGGTATATTCTGATTCCCCTTTCTTTATCTTTTGTAAACCTAGTTCAGGTTTTTGCTTTTTGGTATCATAAGGCTTACATAAAACATCTTATAGATAAAAGAGTCCATTATATCTGATAGGTACTTCACTTCCATGGCATAAAAAAGCTCCCATCTTTTACTCCTCCCTTTTATATCTTTGACATCACAATTTACCTCTCTTTATATTGTGTATTTGTTAACAAATTATACTACCTATAGTTATTATTAATATTTTTGTCCTTAACTTTTATACTATAGTTAAGTAGTTAACACACTGTCACAGAATTAGATTTTTCTAAATCTTACTGTATATTTACCTTTACCAGTGTGTTGTATATTTTTCTAGATTTTTATGTTCTAATTAGTGTCTTTTCATTTCTGCCTGAACTTCTTTTAGCTTTTCTTGCAAAGAAGGTCTAGTGCTGATGAACTTCCTCGGCTTTTTTGTTTGTTTGTTTGGGAAAGTCTTTTTTTCTCTTTCATCTCTGAAGAATAATTTTGCCAAATAGAGAATTCTTGGCTGGCAGTTTTTATCTTTGAACACTTTGAATATGTCATTCCACTCTCTCCTGGCTTGTAGGGTTTCTGATGAGAAATCTGCTGATAGCCTAATGGGGGTTCCAGGTCACAGTCTTTTTTTTTTTTTTTTCTCTCTTTCTGCTTTTAGCATTCTCTCTTTGTCTTTCATTTTTCACAGTCTCATTATAGTGTGTCTTCAAGAAGATCTTTTTCATTGAGATATATGATGATCTATTAGGTTTGTGAATTTGGATGTCCAAGTCTTCCTGCAGATTTGGGAAGTTCTCAACTATTATTTCTTTAAATAAACTCTTTGCCCACTTCAACCTCTCTTCTCCTTCTGGAACTCCAATTATGCTAATATTTGTATGTTTTATGGAGTCTCATAGATCACATAGACTTTCTTCACTCTCTTTTATTCTTTTTTCTTTGTTCTGTTTAGGTTATTTCAAATTTTCTATTCTCTAGCTCACTGATTCTATCCTCCATTTGGTCTACTCTGCTGTAGATGCTCGCTATTGCATTTTTCCATTTCATTAATTGAATTCTTCAGCTCCAGAATTTCTGTTTGGATCTTTTTTATGATTTCTATTTCCTTGTTAGATTTCTCATTTTGCTCGTGTATTGTTTTCCTGATTTTGTTGAATTGTCTTTCTGTATTTCCTTATATATCACTGAGTTTCATTAAAACAACTGTTTTGAAGTCTTTATCATATAGACTACAAAATTCTGTGTCTTTGATTCAGTTATTGGAAGGTTATTGTTATCTTTCAGTGATGAAATGTTTTCTTGATTCTTCATGTTCCTAGGAGTTTTGCTTTGCTGCTTTCACATTTGAAGTAGCAGACACCTCCTCAAATCTTTACTAGCTGCATTTAGGTGAGATAAACTGTTCATTGGTCCAGTTATATCTGCGAATTTCTCTGACCTTGTATGGATACCCCAGCTCCATACTTCTTGCTCCCTCTTGTGGCAAAATTCTTAAGCTTTTAAGAATTTTCAACTCATCTTAAACTCACCTGGCTGACTGCTGGAAAATTCTCTTTTTTTTCAGAAAGTGGTGATACAGCTCAAATTTTACAGAAAGTGGTTTCTTCCTTGCTCATAGAGCTTAGTCTTATTTTTCTGAGCACGTTATATTTACCAGATCTTGCTCTTGCCACCACACTGAGTACTGTGCACACAGAACCAGCTGCAGAGTTGGAGGAGGTGACAGTTTAGCACTCAGGGCATTGAGAGTGCTGTGGGCCCAGTGGGGGGATCATCAGGTGAGGTTCTCCCAGAGGCTCATGGGCAGGCTTCCTGCTGAAGCAGAGACCATGTCCCTTTAATGTCTTTTGATATTCTTATCTGCCTCTTTCACAACCTTCTCCCTCCCCCTTGTCAGGGAGTTCCTGCATCAGTATTCTGGGTGCTTCTGGAGAATAACCTATTTTTCTAGCAGCATCCTGCACAACTGGGGTAGCTAGGTACTCATTCATAGCTCTCCCTTTCCCCTGTGGGAGAGGTCACCACTTGTTATTTCAGCCCCATGCTGTGTTTCCTTGGTGTAGGTTAGACGTTGGCAAAGTTTCTCTTACTCTTTCCAATGCATCCAAATTTGGTTTTATTTTTGCTCCAGTGGAGTGCTGGAATGTGCTGTCTGGATTGCTGAACTTCTACAAGTTTCTCTCCTCTGTGGGTGCATGCCCAAGTCAGCACTCTCCAGTTTTTCCCCAACTGCATGCAAGAGGGGTTGGGGCAGGTTTGCTGGCTCCTGCTGGTTCCACAGCCTGTGCAAAGATCTGTCTGCCTATTACTAGAGGCACAGTTGGGCAAGACTATTCGTGGTCCCCTGACATATTGTGCTCCATTCCACAACTCCCACAGAGGTACTTTTATTTGTGGATGGATATAATTTTTAGTTTTAATAAGAGAGACAAAAAGGAGGGATGTATTCACTGCCATGATGCTAATGCCACTCTTTTTAAATTTTACATACAATAAGACTCATTTTTTATAGTGTATATTTCTATGGGTTTTTAAGAATGCATAGAGTTGTATATCCATCTCAGTTGTGCTATAGAACAGTTCTACCACATCCAAATATTGTCTTGTGCTTTAGTCTATCTATCCTTGTGCTGATGCTATACCTTATTAATTATTTTAGTTTTATAATAAGATCTGATACCTGAAGAATATATCTTCTTGTTTTTCTTCAGTATGTCTTGAGCATTCTTGGTCCTTTGCACTTCTAAATATATATACAACTAAAAAATTTGGTTTCTGTTTGGGATTGCATCGAATTGATAGATCATTCTGCCATTTCTATAAACAGTGTAAAGCATGGGCCTTTTTATTGGTTTGTAATTGTTATCTATGTAAGGACATGCAATGCATTTTTTTTATCATTTTGGCAATATATATAGGCACATATTAATTTATTAATATGTGTACTCATACATTAAGTACACATATTAACTATTTATTAAATGATGAAAATGCAGACTTCAGATGTTATTAATCTGTTATGCTAAATGTTTAAATAATTTCTTTTTTCAGCTACCAACCAATAGTTGACTACATAGATGCTCAATTTGAGGCCTATCTTCAAGAAGAATTGAAAATTAAACGTTCCTTCAATGACTACCATGATTCTCGTATACATGTGTGCCTTTACTTCATTTCACCTACAGGACATTCTCTGAAGTCCCTTGATCTATTAACCATGAAGAACATTGACAGTAAGGTGTGTTTGGTAAATCCATCAGCCTATCAAGATTTGATATTTATTTTGAGATAGTATGTATCTCAAAAGCTTTTGCATACAAGAACTTGTTATTTTGTATTATGTGTAGTGATCATAATTTTTTTCTGTTAATCTTTAAAACATTTGTATTAGCTTTCTAGGGATACCATTACAAAGTACTACAAACTTAGTGGTATAAACAACAGAAGTTTATTTTCTCACAGTTCTTGAGGCTAGAAGTCCAACATCAAGGTGTCACCAAGTTTTGTTTCCTCTGAAACCTCTCTCCTTTGGTGGCAAATGGCCACCTTCTCAGTGTGTCCTCACATGATCTTTCCACTATGCACACATCTGATAGTTTTTTGTGTTCAAGTTTCCCCTTCTTATAAGGACACCAGTCAGATTGGATTCCTAATGGTCTTATTTTAATTTAATCACCTCTTTAAAGGGTCTATCCCCCAATGTAGTCACAGTCTGAGATACTGGGCGTTAGGGCTTCAACATATGCATGGGACATGGAGACACATTTAGCCCATAAGAGCATTTGATAAATTTCAAACTTAGCTTGCTTTCCAGAGAAATTTAATTAGAAAATGCATCAGTTAGGAAAATGAGATGCAGGTAAAATAACATTAAAATAAAAATTTAGGGGGTTTTTTGGTGATTAAATGATACTTTAGATCATGGTCATTTGCCCATATTTTTGAAACTAAATTTACTGTATAGTACTATAAAATAATCCCATTAACATTTATCTGATACCAGGGATGGTGTGAAATGTGAAGCTTTCATGATCCTGGCTACTGGTTCTATCAGAGAGGTTTCAGAATGCAATATACATATTTTCAACAGAGGATTAATGTACACATGAAAGAAACTGTTATGTCGTGAGATTCTTTCCTGCACTCAGCCCTTATAAAACACGCTACCTTCAACTTTATTCAGCAGAAGAGAGGAAAATTTCTAAAATTAGGTCCTGTTTATCAAAGAAGGCCTGAATTTGTTATGTATTGTTCAAACTGAAAAGTAGCTTTGTACTTAATCTCACATATTACCAAGAAGTTGAAAGTAGATTTGTAGTTAAAATTGAGCTGTCTCAATTTCTTGATTAGTAGTATATTCAGTAGTCAGGGACACACAGTTTTATTTTTAATTATGGGCATCCGTAATCATCAAGCCATTTCCAGATACAGGAAATTGGGTTTTTTCCCAAAGGCCATTACAATAAAGGAGTGGGCAAGGTAGTGCACGTGTCTGTTGTCTTCTCTTCCAGTTTGCTGAGCTCTCCTTGCAATAAGTGACTTTTGTTCCTTAAATCTGATCACCTGAGGAATTATTGACATGGAAAGTTTCCATTTCTTATGTGTTAATGATTTACTGGAGGATATCTTTTCCTAGCTTTCCCACCAATAAAACCCAAGACATTTATGTTAGTCTTGAATCTACCTTAGCAGTGTCTGATTTTTACTGTGGAAGCTATTATTTAAGATTTCAAAATTAGACAAAATTTTGAACATCTGTGTTATAATACGGAGGCCCTAGTTTTGCACAAGGATTTTTTAAAAATATTCTTTGAGGAATCTAAAGCAAAAGCAATGTACCTAAATTGCTTTTTTATGCATCCCTACTATATCACAGAACTTGATATCATGTAGCAATGATTTAATAAGATATCTTATTTTAACAGTAATAAAATATGTTTTAGAATTTTGCATATTGTTATTTTATACAAAGTTTAATTATTGAGATGTAAGTGCATGGAGACAGGAATGATCATATTGTAGAACTATGAAGAAAAGTTTATGAATAAAATTTCAACCTCAAATATACTATAATTCCTTTTTACAAATTACGAATGAACATATTTGTTAGCAAGATGCTATGCACACATACACACATTCAACCTTTAAGTATGGTAAGAAAAATATATTATTTTTAGGTGATCTTTGGAAAACACAAGCAAATCTATCTTCAAAGGCATCGAGGTAGAACAACGATTTGTGAAAACGGGACATTGATTAAGATGGATTTATGGAGAAGGTGATCAAATAAATTATAGGTAGAAGGACAAAGTTAATCTGTTCTACAATTTTGATGAATTCTACTGAATTTTTAGCACTCAATTTAATAAGAAATCAAATTGATAATGAAGTAAATAGACTACTTCATCCTACTACTTACATTTTACTAATTCCAGATTTGTTGGAAGTATAGGAAAGTTTACTAACAGGAAGAAAATTAAGACTTCAGAACTTAAATTCTAATAAAAGATTAATCTTCAAAAATACTGATAATTTTGGGAAAAAAATTTATAAGGAAGGAAGGCATGATAGCCAGTGATTATCTAGCTACAAACATTTGTTGTCAGAGATTGTGAGGTTTTGACTGTAAAAATTCCAGGATTAATAAAAAATAGTCATTGATGAGATTTTCTTTGCTTCATTCTTAATAGGTGAACATTATACCACTGATTGCCAAGGCAGATACAATTTCAAAAAATGACTTACAGAAATTTAAGTGTAAGATAATGAGTGAATTGGTTAGTAATGGCATCCAGATATACCAGTTTCCAACAGATGATGAAACTACTGCTCAAGTGAACTCCTCAATGAATGTAAGCTTTGAACTATTGAATATCAATTCTATTTTACATGTGAGTTAAAATATAGTTTATAAGTAACAATATTAGTAATACATTGTCACTTATATCTGATAAAAAGAGTATAATAAGGTATTTTTTCCAAAACCCAGTGTGGAAAAATGTTTTGTTTTCTTGATTTTGAAAAATGTTTGCTGAGAATCAATTCTTTTTTTCAACGGCTTTATTAAGATATAGTTCACATACCATATGATTCACCCATTAAAGTATACAATTCAATAATTTTTGGTCTATTTACAGATGTGTGTGCCCATCACTAAAATCAAGTTTAGAACATTTTTATAATCTCAAAAAGAAAACAGATACCCTTTAGCTCTTCTCCCCCACTACCTGTCAGCCCTCCTCTCTACCAATCCTAGACAACCGCTAATCAAATTTCTCTGTAGGTTTCTCTGTTCTGAACATATATGAATGGAATCATATAATGTTTAGTCTTTTCATGTGCTTGTGGATATTAGTATATCTTTTCAGAAGAAAAATTTATTCATATCCTTTGCCCATTTTTAAATTAAGCTTTGTCTTTTTATTATTGAGTTGTAAGAGTTCTTTCTATATTTTGGATACAGGTTCCTTATGAGATATATGATTTGCAAGTATTTTCTCCCAATCTGCTGGCCATCTTTTCACTTCCTTTTTGGTGTCCTTTGAAACACAAATTTTTAAATTTTGATGAGGTCCAATTTATCTATTTTTGTTGTTGTTGCTTGTGCTTTTGGTGTCGTATCTAAGAATATTTTGCCAAATCCAAGGTAATAAAGGTTCACTTATATGTTTTCTTCTGAGTTTTTTTTTTTACCGGTAATAAAATACACATAACATGAAATTTACCATCTTAAACATTTTAAAGTGCACAGTTGATTGGCATTATACATTTACATTGTTATGCTACTGTCTTGACATAAGTACAGCCATGTTTGGCCATTCCATGAACCTACAGCCACCAGCACACAAAGAAATATAAAGCAGCTTTCTATGTGGTGGGAACTGGCCTTTCTCCTACAGAGACGGTTGCAATTTGTAAGATTACAAGACTCTTTGGGCGTTGTAGCCAGGGACGGACTGGCCATCTGTGCCGGGCCGGGACAATAGCCAAGGGGCTCAATGCACATACACAACTGATAACCATTTGTGCATGAGAACACCAAATACTTACTCTGCAAGCTCTGCAAATGCTTACTCTGGAGATTACTGATGCTGTATAAACTGCTGGAAACTGAGGGCTGGTGAGAGTCTCACCTGTGGAGGGGACGCCTTGCCCAGGACCTCTGACAATCGGACTCCCACCTAGCTGTGTCAATTGAAGGGACTCTCCCGGGCGCAAGGGCGTGGATGTTGTGAGTAACCGATATGATGTTTCTCTCTCAGTCGACCTGGTGTCTCTCTTTCCGGTTGATTTGTATCATTTCCCTTCAGTCGATCTGGCGTTTCCCTTTCCGATTGACCTGATGGTTTTCCCTCTTATTATTTGACCTATTCGGATCTGCTTCTATCTCGGTGGATCTGGTGTTTCCCTTTCCAATTGATTTGTGTCATTTCCCTCTTGTTATTTGACCTATTTGGATCTGTGTGTGGACTAGCACCTTTATGCTCCTCTATATAATAAAATATACATTCAGTCCATTTGTCTGGGTTGGAAAGTTTCTTTTTATGTTTCCGATTGAATCCACCGAACCTCTCAAAGCAGCTACCATCACCACCATCCGTCCACAGAACACTTTTCATCTTGCAAAACTGAAACTCTGTATCTAATAAACAATAACTCCTCATTACCCCTCCCCTCGGCCTCTGGCAACCACCGTTGTACTTTCTGTCTTATAAATTTGACTACTCAAGTTACTTCCTATAAATGGAATCATACAATACTTATTCTTTTAGTCTGTACAAATATTTCTTTGAGTTTCTTTTTTCAGTTCCTTTGGGTATATGCCAAGAAGTGGAATTACTGGATTGTATGGTAATTCTATGTTTGATTTTTTGAGGAATTGCCATAACTGTTTTCCTTAGTGGCTGCACTATTTTACATTCCCACTAACAGTGTGCAAAGATTCCATTTTCTCCACATCCTCATCAATACATATTTTCTGGGTTTTTTTTTTATATTAGCTTCTCTTAATAGATGTGAGGTGGTATCTCATTCTGGTTTTGATTTGTATTTCCTCAAGGATTAGTGATATTGAGCATCTTTTCATATACATATTGGCCATTTGTATATCCTCTTTGGAGAAATGTCTATAAGTCCATTTCATCTTTGTTGGTGTACAGTGGTTTATAGTATTCCTTTATAATAATTTTTATTTCTGTAAGGTTGGTAGTAATGTTCCTTTCATTTCTGATTCTAGTGATTTGAATCTCCTCTTTTTACCTTAGTTGATCTAGCTAAAGGTTTGTCAATTTTGTTTGTTTTTTTGAAGAACCAGATTTTGGTTTCTTTGATTTTTTTGTTCTCTATTTCATTAATATTCTCTAATCTTTATTATTTCCATCCTTCTGTTTGCTTTAGGTTTAGTTTGCTCTTCTTTTTTCAGTGTCTTAAGATGGATGGTTAGGTTATTGATTTGAGAACTTTCTTTTTTCTTTATAGGTATTTATTTCTATAAATTTCATTCTAAGCATTGTTTTGACTGCATCACTTAAATTTTGATATGTTGTGTCTTCATTTTCATTTGTCTCAGAATATCTTCTGATTTGCCTTTTGATTTTGATTTCGACTCTGGTTATTTAAGACTGTGGTGGTTTATTTTCTGCATATTTTTGAGTTTCCCAAATTTTCCACTGCTATTGATCTACATTTTCATTTCACTACGATTGAAGGCCATATTTTGTATATTTTGTATTCTTTTATATTTATTGAATTTAGTTTTATGGCTTACCATTTCCCCCCACCCCAGAGGATGTTTCATATGCACTTGAAAAGTATATTCTTTTTTCTTTTTCTGAAGGTGAAAATGATCTTTCAGTTTATTTATGTTTGCAAAGGCTACATCCTTGTCCACGAAGAACCACAAGGATTTATAAAAATTCTGGCATGTCTTGCCCCACAACTGAATATTTAGAAAACTATCCTATGTATGGCAATGTTCTTTCACCTCAGAGTCTTAAACCCAAGCAAGAAGAAGAATGTGTATTCTATTTTTGGGTAGAGTGTTATAAGCACTTGTTGTCTAGTTAGTTTATGGTGTTGTCCAAGTCTCTTTTCTTGTTGATCTTCTCTTTATTCTATTAATTTTTTTATAATGGGGTATTGAAGCCTGCAAATATTATTGTAGAATTATCTATTTCTCCCTTCATTTCTTTTTTTCCGGTTTTATTGAGAAATGTGACATACATCACTGTTTAAATTTAAGGTGTACAGAATGATGGTTTGATTTAAATATATAGCGAGATGATTACCACAATAGGTTTAGTTAACATCTGTCATCTCATATAAATACAAGAAAAAGAAAAGAAAAACATTCTCCTTGTGATGAGAACTCTTAGGATCCACTCTCTTAACAACCTTCCTATGTATTATACACCAGTGTTAGCTATAGTCATCATGTTGTACATTACATTCCTTGTACTTATTTGTCTTATAACTGGAAGTTTGACCTTTGACCGCCTTCCTCCAATTCCATCTCCCCTCATCCATCACTTCTGATAACCACAAATATGATCTCTTTTTCTTTGTGTTTGATGGGTTTTATTAAAAAATTAGATTTTGCATGTAAGTGAGATCATATAGTATTTGTCTTTCTCTGTCTGATTTATTTCACATAGCATTATGCCTTCAAGGTCCATGCATCTTGTCGTAAATGGCAGGTTTTCCTAGGTTTTTTTATGGCTGAATAATATTCCATTGTGCTTGTGTGTGTGTGTGTGTGTGTGTGTGTATGTATATATGTATATATATACACCACAGCTTCTTTATCCATTCACCCATTGATGGAAATTTAGCTTGTTTCTATGTCTTGGCTATTTTAAATAGTGTCTCTCTTCATTGCTGTTTTTGCTTTATGTATATTGGTGCTCAGTTATTAGGTTCATATCATGTTTATAATTTTTATAGCTTTCTGATTGATTGACCCATGTTATTATAAAATGTTCCTCATTATCTCTAACAACATTTTTTGTGTTAAAGTCTTTTTTATCTGATGTTAGTATAATCACTCTAGCTTTTTTGTAGTTGCTGTGTCTTTGCATAATGTATCTTTTTCCATCCTTTTAATTTCAAACTATATATATCTTTGAATCTAAAGTGTGTCTCCTATGGATAGGATACAGCTGGATCATTTAACAATCTCTGTCTTTTGATTAGATTCTTTAATCCATTCACACATAATGTTATTATTTATTTAGATTTATGTTTGCCATTTTACTTTTTGTTTTCCCTATGTCTCGTGTATTTTTTTCATTTATTCTCCTTTTACTGTTTTTTTCCCACTAAATGAGTGTTTTATGAATTAGTCTTTTAATTAATGATTTTTAAATTATATTTTGTGAGTTTATTTTTAGTGATTTCTCAGAGTTTATCATATACATTCTAACTTATCAGAATCAACTTCAGATTTCTAGTAGCTTCATTCCAGTGATATATAAAAATTTATTCTTTTTTTGTGTGTGTGTGAGGAAGATCGGCCCTGAGCTAACATCTGCCAATCCTCTTCTTAAAAATTTATTCTTATATAGCTCTATTCCTTTTTCTTCCTTTTCATGGTATTATTGTTATACATATTATATTAATGTTAAAACCCCAAAATACGTTGTTATAGTTATTACTTAACCATCTGTATTCATTTTCTTAACTCTCCTGCCCACCTCCTTTGTGTCATTTTAGAAAATCTATTACATACATTACATTTCTATATGTTACAGGCACAAAAATATTTTATATGCACATTATTTGATATGATTAGTTTTTTTAATCAGTTAAGAAAAGAGAAATACATACATTTGAACTGTCTTATAATAATTTCATA